ATGCCGAGCAACGCAGATAGAATGATTTCAATAGAGGCTTCAGCGGAGGCATTTAAAACTCCCCAACTCCTCATACTCACCGTACTCCTCAGCCTTGTTATTATAACCGTAGTTCCTGCAGGCAATGTAGTTATAGACATTGAAAGCCTGAAGCATCAGTCTCCTGATACACGTTGCTGTGGGAGTTCTGTAAGAAGCAACTTCCTTTATTCCAATTATGTTCTTTGTTCTTCTTAACAAAACTTTTTATTTAGCTCAGGATATGTGTCTGCAAATCTTACAAAGTGTGTGTGACTTTTGTTATAACGAGTTTGCAGAAACTTTTGTTCGTGAGAGTTCTTGTCAGATGGAGAAGCAGGGAATGGAGGAGCCATCAAAAAATCTTTTTTGTGAAAGGCATGCAGCAATGAGTGATCTTATTTTCTTCAAAACAACTCATTTTTAGCCTTCTTCAATTCTGTTTAAATAATAGATTACTGTGTATCAGTTCACTCAGCATTAGAAGTTCGCTTTTTGCATTATAAACCATTCTGTATATATATGAATATGATATCTAACTTAAGTCAGCTCTGCAGCTTTACTACTTGTAGTTCTGCCTCCGCTATTGGATCAACTGAAGCCTTTCTTGCTCGTGTTCTTTTTATGGAGGGGATGCATCTGTTTTGTGCTTAATTGGACTTGCATTACCCTTTGGGTGGAGCTATTGTTGGTGGAAGAGATGTTCGCACTTGTTTCATCTAGGAACATGCTAGATTCATTAAAGTTATCATTGATTTATGTTACCTCCAATTTGGCTATCATCATCAGCTCAATTTTATGTTCCCTTCCAAGGAATTTCAACTTTTTAGTCCGAGGATGGTGTCACCATACATCATGACTTGATTATGAATTAAAAAGTTTTTCTTTGGGTTCTGGTGAGATCAAAGAAGAGTTTTAGAAACTTTCAAGTGCCCACACTTCAATAGGAGAAGAGAACAAATATGATTACATATAGCTTTGGCTCTTGGCATTAAAATACTTACTTTATTTTGGATGTTGTTTATGTATTATCATATTAGAAGTTAACAAAACATTCTATTGATTACATGTAGCTTCACTTGAAAATATTTTATGAATGTGAAGGTTAGCTAGAACAAGAAAATTTAGGATCACTAAATGAAGAATAATTTTCTTGAAAAAGGCAACATGGTCATTATAGCTATCAAATATATAGTCATGACAGTTTTATTGCAAACAACACAACTGTACAGGAGCAAAATTGTCATTTATCCAGAAACGGCTGCAAATCAGCTGTTTTCAAACGCATAAACCAAATAGTCAGCCAACTTATCCGGATCAGCTGCAGATCAACATTTTATCAGGATACGCTGCTTATCTGGCTATGCTGGATAAACTGCAGCTGCCCCAAACCCTTAATGTTGGTTTGTCTCAAATTCAGATGAGATTTAAAACAATCAGATAAATTATGCCCAAAAATTTATAGAAAGAATGTTAAGAGAGGGTGCTTCCAAATAACACCTGCCAATAACCATAAAAC